TTAACGTAAATTTCTCGAGAATCAAAACACCTGTATGCATCCTAAATTTGCCAATTCAAGACCAACACTTGAAAAGGCCTCAACTCCATTTTGTAAACAAATCGTTAAAGCCCATTTTGTCGCGAACCGAAGTCCGCCAACACAAACCAGCAAAATGAAAAGGTAGGGTAAATTATCCTCTGCCCGATTGTGTTTTAGGTTTGCGAATGTACGTTTCAGTTCACGAGAAAATGGCCTTACAAGGTTTGCTTACAAAATGGAGTTAGGTCGGTTCAATTGTTGGTCTTGAATTAATAAAGGAAGTTCGCTCTATCAGATGATGGTGTTATACCCCGTACACACTATGGCTTATATCATGTCATATAAGATGTCTTGCAATGAGCACTCATACACAAAGTTTTCACTGGAAATCATATGTATGAGTGTTCATTGCAAGACAGCCTATATTACATGATATAAGCCATAGTCTGTACGGTGTATTACATTGCTTTGATGTCGACACTCCAGCTTTGTTTTGGCTTGACTTGGCCTCTTGTCACTATGCAAAATCCGTCCTGGAATGGTATAATGCACAAGAGGTCAAATACGTTCCAAAAACAGCAAATCCGCCAAACTGTCCAGAACTTCACCCAATAGAAATTTACTGGGCTTTGGTAAAGCGGAAACTATTCGAAACAAAGAGGAAAGCTAATGGCATCAATGATTTCAAAAGAAGATGGAGGCACGCCGTCACTAAGGTATCTGAGGATATTGTACGGAACCTGATGGCGGGTATCCCACAGAAAGATCGAGAGTTTTACAGACAAAATAATTAACATTCAAATAAGCTACGTTTGCTATCGATATAAGACGACTCTACCGAAATAAACAATTGGTTTTGTTGTATTATGTGTAGAATTTTTTCCCGACATTATCTTAGTATCCGAAATTTAACGTGGACAGGCCACTAAGGGTGGCTTAAATTAGGTCAATCCTGGAATTTCAAACACCTAACTTCAACCCTGGAATGATTGTTTGGGGGACAGAAATTTGAAGCCATTTGGTCTACGGGAAGGGGTCCCGCAAAAGGCTTGAAATGTGTATGTATCATGTTTGCAGAACAAAGCAATTCGATATCTCTTGAAGATCATCCGATATTAACGACTTTCATTATAAAACGCACCCCATTGAAATATTAACTACTTGGCACGGGGCAAATACGCACAAATTTTCAAGTAAGTATTTGAAAGGGCATAGCTTGAAGTATATGGATTGAGACAAAAAGAAAAATTATATATTATAAACTCATATAAAATCAATTTGGATTCATTCATTTTTAGTCCTATAATTCAGTATATCTTCTGCATAATATGAACAGAGTAACAATCAATAATTGTAAAGGGCGTATTTAATAAAGAAAATCGATTTACTTTATTCGGTAAAAATGTGAATTTTATCAAGTTCTAAAAGATTTTTGAGGACGACTTTCCGAAAAAGTTGAGCTAAAAACAAATCTGAAAAATGAGAACGTTAAGAAATAGAAAAAAATGTTACTGTTTCAAAGTTGCGTGAAATTTACTAAGCTATAGCTTTACTGAAGGTCAGCTGTGTGTACTTTCAAAAATAAAACAATAGTTAGATTTTTAATATCATTTAATTTGAGGACCACCCTAATGTTTACATTGACCAAAAGAAAAGTCTTTTCAAGCACAAAACTTTTAAAGCAAAATATTTTGAGGACATTGTTCAAGATTTCTTTGAGCCTGTAGAACTTCAAGATCTGAACTTCAGAATGGGTTGCAATGCACATGCGATGATGCACATGTTTTCAAGAAGCTGTCTTAAGCTTCAAGGACTCATACAAATTTTCTGTACATTGTTCAAAGCGTTCATTGAGTCTGTAGAAGTGCAAGATCATAGCTCAATAATAGTTTGGAGAGTATTAAAACTATTATTGATACTAATCCACGATGTACATGTTGTCAAGAAGCTCTCATAAAGATATTCAGGACATTGTTCAAGACTTCATTGATCCTGTAGATCAACAAAATCTTAGCTCCAGAATACTTTAAAGAGCAATAAATATCTTGACACCAATCCATGATGTGCATGTTGTCAAGAGGCTCTCTATTGAGCTTCATGAATACATAAAGATTTTCAGAGCATTGTTCAAGGCTTCATTGATCCTGTAGATCTTCAAGATCTTTGCTCCAGAATAGTTTGGAAAGCATTGAATATGTTATTCTATGATGCGCTTGTTGTAAAGAGCCTCTCTTGACTATATTGAGCCTGTAGAACTTCGAGATATCGTAGCTTCAGAATAGTTTGGAGATCATCATCTTATTGTTTCCATTCAATGATGTACATATAATCATGAAGCTTTACAAAGCTCGGATGATGTGTTCAATAAGTCAGGATCGTGCGTATCAAACCAAATTGAGTCTATAGAACATCAATATCGTAACTCCTGGATATTTTGGAGAAGTTAGAAGTCTTCAAGATCTTTAAATGACGTTTAATGATTAATGTAGGCAAATACTAATACAGAACTTGTCAAATAATGCAGAATAAGAAAATATTTTTGGCCACCATAGAGATGCCCCATAGTGCATAAGTAAGGCGGATGGTGTTGAGTTCAAACGCTAATAACTTTTCAGGGTCAACTTGGATTTGCTACCGGTCATGAATAAAGATGTTACCCATTTTTGATATCAAGAAAATCCAACACCTACAGAGCCAAAAATGTGAAAGTGGCTCGATCCCCCATACAAATTGTAAATTAACAATTTGGCACATTGATGTATTTTCTAGCCATAAAATGCCTCAAATTATCATTTCGAAGATCGAATGAAGAATGATATTTTAAATTGCTCCACTTTTTCTAGCATTAATTGTGTGACCTAATACTAGCCAATTATAAGCAAATAAACCATAAACATTACGATTTTGTGTCTTCATTTCATTCCTTTATTTAACGTCGGTCTCTGTTCCGCAATCTAGTGCCAATCACCGACGGACACCGATTGCCATCCATTGACGGCAATCGAATGTGCAGGAAGGCAACTTCCACACCTGCGTAGGATATCGCACCCATTCAACACACATGGGCCGGGACCAACGGCTTTACTTCCCTTCCGAAGGAAGACGTGACCAGAGATTTTTATGCCTCAGAAAAATCCCACCGACCTCGGCTGGGATTGAACCCAGACCCATTGGGGTGAGAAAGCAGTCACGCTTACCACTACACCACCGGCGCCGGCTACGATTTTGTGTCAATGGTCAATATTTTGACAACTTGTCTCGTTATTCTAGATAAAATTATCTCAAAATGTGATTGTAGGGGAAATGACTGTAATGTTGGCGCTATGGATCTAAGATTGGGCCCATCGCTAAAAATCTGCTATTTATCAATTTTATATAGATGAACGCGTCATTGGGACGGTACATATGGATATTTTTGGTCGCTATTGATAATTTAGTCGATTGCTTCATTTATATATGGGCCCAAATCAGGGGCATTTAGGCCGACATTACATCCATTTTCCCTGTTTCAAAAGTCGAGTGACAGTAAATGTTTTTTTAAACTGTTTGGCAAAGTGCTACATTAGTTCACAAAACACAACCTCACGTTGGTCCCCGGTTCATGAGTTAATGGGTCGATAGGTAGGGTCCAGGTGTGGGAGCTGCCTCCCTGGCGTCGGTAACATTGGAGCTCAGCACGGAAAACAAGATCGACGGAAAACAAATCACGGAGAAAAACTAACATTTCCACTCCTTTACACGTCACATTTTTGGTACGAACTTCTCGCTATTTGACGTCCATGATAGAAAAACTAAAAGCAGAATCTATGCGGTAGGGTAGAGAACTACTTCGGCCTAAGCGCCCATTTTGGGCTTATCAAGCAGAAAACATCAAATAAATCCATGATCTCGGCGTTAACAGGTAAATTATGCTTTTGGTACGATACTTTAGTTAAAATGCTACCGAACGAAGTCAATAAGAACGCGTGATATGAATGTTTGGACCCAATATTCTCAAAAAATAAATGAAGCGCTCCGACCGAATCAATTTTTAACTTCATCCGATAGGCCGAAGTGAATGCATTGGCGTATCAATGGAGTTTCAATGCGTTAGGCCGAGTTTAGAATCCGTAAGGCCGAGTTTGGCGTCAAGAAGCAGTGTTAGACTTTTACCTAACAATATCTCAACAATTTGTTTCTCTTTATAAAATCTTACGGTACGTACGGAAAGGTAAATAAATTTAAAAGCCATCAGTAATAATAGCATTCCGTTTGGTGCTAAACTACGCTAGATTAAGAAAGACTAAGTGCGGGTTGTGCTTAATAGGCCGGAAATGGGGTAGTTAACCCTATTAACCTAAACGAAAAAAAACCTGTTTCCTTGCATAATGCAACAAAACTAAATAGCTCTTGATCGATTACGGGCTGTTCATAAACTAGGCAGACAAACATGAGGCAGGGTGAATGCCTACGGTCCATACAAATTTCCAAAATATCGAATGGACAATTTGAATTTGAAAGTACGCAGGGGAGGGGGAAGGGGTCTTAAATCTCTCATAAATGGTCCACGTAGTTCATGAACATCCTCTTACCGTAATTTTCAACAAATTTCGCAGAATTTCTGAAATTTTTCGACCAAAGCCAAATATCGCAGAATTCGTGGCTTCCGTGAAATCGCAATATTCCGCTGTCCCTAGCTGCCGATGTGACTTTTTTCATGTCGATAATTATTATAACATTGTTATAACTCTGTAGTATGGACAAGACACTAGTTACAAGAATCATTTGCCCCTTAAATACATAGACCTTTAGATCATTCCCTAAATATTGACTTACACAATTTTTTAAGTGAAATTCATCTTCCTAACCATACACATTGGCCACAATCACATCCACCGCAAACCAGAACTAGGATACCACTTCCACAGTACACAACCACCCAACACGCACCCGTCGCTGAAGGACGAAAGCTCTCTCTCCTTCTCTCTCAATCGTCTCACCGAACACGACCACCGGCGGGTGGCAGTCAACGACAAAAGGGATCACTCTCTTCTCCAATTTTCCTTAGTGTTCGTCCTCGTCGTCGTCGTCGTTGAAATAGGATTCTTTGCACATTAATTCATATACCGTACCGTACCCACCGATACCTTCTGGCTGCTGACGGAGGAAAATCCTCTTATCAATAATTAACAGGACGAATCGAAATTAAACTTCCTGGTATCCGAACCGCAAACTTGGCTTCTTCTTCACATTCGTTGGCCCAATTTCGCATCGAATGCACTGGGACCGACCTTCTTCTCCTGGTGGATTTTCACGCTACACTTGGCACTTTTGCTCCAGAAACTGCTCCTTTTTTCCGCCTTGCCTCCTACCTTTTCTCACACTTATTTATATCGATAACCGTGAACCAACCATTACGTGAGCTTCGTTTTTTCTTCTTCCTTCCATCCACGTTACACCTATTTTTTCCAGAACGTTTCCTTTCACCCTTTGGCACTTTTCTCTGCCAGCTCCGGAAGTGGCTGCATTTTTCACACACAATTTACTCGGGAGCCCAATTTTTCCTGGCTGGTGAACTCCTACCAAAGTGTGACCTTCATTCAATTCGAATTTGGACTCCAATTGGATCTGTTTTTCCCAGTATTTCATCCAACGGCACAGTTCTTAACCACCGGACCTCGATCAGTCTTCAGTTGCGAAATTTAATGAAATTACTTCACTTGGGAAAACCATCTCACTACTGAATGATGGGGACCTGAATGAAAAGTTCCAGAGGCGTTAGCGAGCGAAGAAAAATCCGTGCCTTCTCCACTGCTGGCTACAAACCGAATGAAGGAGCTGCCCGTGTCAAACGTGGGATTTTTCCCGTTCGGATGCAGATGAGCGAAAGAGAGAGCTCATGGCGAAGCTGGGGAAATTCACCAACACAGTTAGCACATCCCATGCTGGCGGCAGCAAGAGATTGACGAGACACGGAAAGTTTGATTTTGGCGAACGCTTGCCAACCAGAAACTCCACCGTAAAACGATAGAAGATGGAGACGCGTCGTATTTTGATCCGGTTCGTATTTAACACAATCGACGGGACGTTTTGATCATTTTTTTTCAGTTTTTGTATTGTAAATAACATAAACGGAACATCGAAGTGTGCTTTGCTCGTGGCAGAATGTGTTTGTTTTCTTTGGTTGCGGTTCGTTTTGTTTTTGTTGTTGTTGCTTCTAACATTTTTGTACAATTTTAGCTATTTTTGTAAATGACTACAACTACCTATACAAAAGAAAATTAGTGCCTGTACTTAGAATGAACGTTTTAATGATAATCCAGGATCAAGTCTTTTAATGATAATCCAGGATCAAGCAATTGCAAGAGAAAGTGCGATAGCAAAGAAATTGTAATTTATTGCCAAAATTTAAACAGGATGAAGAGCGCGATAAAGGTCATCGAAATTTATAAACAGGTAGCCGCTTCTAGTTATCCTAACATTTTAGGCACCGAAACAAGTTGGGATGCCAGCTTAAATAGTAAAGAAGTTTTCAGAGATAGCTTTAATGTGTTTAGGGATGATCGTGACAAAACGTTATCGAACAAAAAGTCTGGTGGAGGTGCATTAATCGCAGTGTGTACCGACTATGAATCGGAAATGATTGAATCAAGCAAGTGTAAGCACTGAAAGTGCCAAAAAAGAATCATTTGAATTGTATTTTAGTATTGCTGATACTGTTATTTCTAAATGAGAGCCGGAAGCAAATGTTTATAATTACTGTGACTTTAATCAACGAGCAGCAAATTTTATTGTTGACGACGAAAATGAATCTGTTTTGATACCGATTTTTGGAGACAACGAAATGCTCCATTCTATATTTGACAAAAGCGCAGAGATTGGACTTTATCAAGTCAATCATGTCAAAAATCATAACAATTGTTATTTAGATTTATTATTTACGAATATGACCGATGATTTCTGCGTGATTGAGGCTCCTGCACCTCTATGGAAAAATGAAATATTTCATTCTGCAATAGAACTCTCCGTATTTATACACGATAACACCACAATGTTGGATGGCGATTTGTTGGAAACCTATTTAGACTTTAGACATGCAACCTATGAGCTCATCAAACACAATTTAAATTCTATTGACTGGCAAAGTTTGATTAGAAATTCGAGCCCAGAGCAGGCTGTAGATATGTTCCATGAAATTGTATACGATATATTAGAGACGACAGAACCGAAAAAGCTAAGGAAAAAATCAAAGAAATCTACAACTCCAGCATGGTACAATAGGCAAATAAATAATCTCAAAAATTGAAAACAGAAGGCTCATAAACCTATAAAAGAGAACAAAATAATAGTAACCTCACAATTTATTTGAACATATGCGATCATTTGAACTGTGAAATAAAAAATGCATACGAATGGTATACACGCAGAAAAAAATATTTTAAACGTAATAATATTTGACGTAAAATCAATAAGAATTTCATTTTGTTTTGGCTGCAAAAAGAAATCATTATTGTTTCAACAATCCAGTATTTTTGTTCCTCAAAACCCATGGATTGTTAAATCAAAAAGAAAATCTTTTCGAATTTACAAGAGCTTTCATGGTTTTGACGTAAGCTGTCAAATTTGGCAGCTGGGTCAACAATAAAAATATGTTTGTTTTTAAAAGAGATTTCTTGTTGATTCAATCATATTTATTTTATGAAGTCTGACAATTCACGCAGTAGAAATAAAAATATGTTTATTGATTCAAAAATCCGGGGTGATTTGAGATTTGGGCGTAATTGCTTTTGAAAACAAACACGTCAATCACTGATTTCTCTTGAATAAAAGCTCAATCTCACAAACAAACTATACCAAATGATAGAGGAATCATTCCTCTACCGCATAGTGTTAATACTTTTCGAGATTGAGCTTTTATTCGCGAGAAATCGGTGATTGACGTATTTGTTTACAAATGCAATTACGCCCAAATCTCAAATCACTCCGGAAATAATATGGCATTTTTTTTATGTTTTGTTTTCTTTTTCACTGATCATCCTTCGGAAGGGAAGTAAAGCCGTTGGTCCCCGGTTAATTAGTTGATGGGTCGATATGTAGGGTCCAGGTGTGGGAGCTGCCTTCCTGGCGTCAGGAGCATTGGTACTCAGTACGGAAAACAAGATCGACGAAAAAAAAAATCATGGAAAAAAACAGAAAATTGATTATATTTAGCAACTGCAGCTTGAACTGCAGCATACTTACTTACCTCAAGTCTCAAGATTTTCGGAAAATTTGCACTTATTTCCCGAAATTCACAAGTTTTGTTATTGTTTACACTTTTGTCCGGGTGAAAACGAGGGAATGGTTGGTAGTTATTTTTGCATTCATGGCCCGGGGAATGGACACAGCAAATAAATGCTAAATTAAAATGAACTATTATTGGATTAATAATAGAATATAGTTATTTTTACAATAGTTGCAGTTGAAAAGTGGCTTATTAAAACAAAAAGAATCCTACTTTGAATTTATATGAATAAGTATTATTGAAACAACAAAATGCAATATAATTTCAACCGGAATTGTTTGTTTAAATTCAACTAAAGTTTTGTTTGGTTCAATGCAAACAATTTTCTGTCCGTGTAATACTCAGGTTGAAGACAACATTAAATCAGACCCAAAATATTTTTTTTTAACTTTGTTAGAGACAAACAGAAGTCAAATAATTATCCTTCGAAAATTTACCTAGACAAAAAAACAAGAAAAACGACTAGCGAGATCAGTAAATTATTTGCTGTGTTTTTTCAGGATATTTAAACAAGTCATGATGACCAAGACCGGGATTACCAGTATTTTTCATACCTTCCTGAGCCAATGAGAGATATTGTAGTTAATAATGTTACCCTCAACGAAATCTTACATTCTCTAAATACATTGGATGCATCAAAGGGTGCAGACCAGATGGATTGCCACCAGTATTCTTGAAATCAGTATCGCAGGAGATAGTAAAGCCATTGTTCTGGCTGTTCAACTCTTCTCTCGAATCCTGTTGGAAGGAATATATTATTTAACTCTGATTATTTCATAATTCATTTAATTCCAAATACATATACCTATGTTGGGGATTGGAAGAGACCATCAGGACCCTCAATCGAAGCGATTTGGATGGGGAGAGTGAAATTGTCAACTCCCTGTTGTTAATTTTTTGTGGAAAAAGATGGGCTCTTAATCCGGATTTTTTTAAATTATACATTACGTAATACCGAAGCACTTTAACAAAACCGGTAATTTTGGTATGCTCCATAATCCTTGGAAAAGTGCTCTATTTCTGCGTTGACGCAAAACAAACATTTCAGGCTTAACATTTGATAACGGCACAAAAGCATTTCTAAACAAACTTTCTAAGACTCTTTACATGCGAACCAAAGTACGCCTACGCAAACCAATACCACTTTCGGAAAGATGGTTTGCCTGAGCATACTTCGGTTCGCGTGTAAAGGGCCTTAAAAAAATTGTTTACAAAAACTTTTGTGCCGTTATCAAATGTTACGCCTGATTTATTACACTCAATGTTAGTTGCATTTCCTATCATCCTTCGCAGCGAATACCATAGAGAATGATATAAGTTGGTCATGTAGACGATGCAATAGTTTTTTATCTCTTTTATTTCGTGTTCTGTCTACGCTTTCGACTATACCATAAGGGGTAGTCACACTACACACTTATTTTGTGCCTACTTTTTTCTCAGTGTGCCGGCAGTGCCAGTCATTAGACTGACTTGATTGCTTGTGAATAATGGCAATCTTGGCAACCCGGTTAATCTGACAGTTCAAATTTTGTGTTTTGAAAGCGAAGAAACAACAACAGAGGCAGCTGTACAAACTTAAACTGGACAAATTGGCCGACCAGAGGGTCACCCCAAGAAGGCGATCGAGCCCCTCAGACCGCTGTTTGACAAAGACCTCGAGAAAAAGTTCGATATTCCTGATTGTATTTTAAATGCACAGTCGCCGGGTCAAGCTGCTGTTCGAATCGCTGCAACTCTTCCGGGGATCGAAATTGGCTGCGGAAATCAACGTTGGATACCAAATAGCAAACCTGGATAACGGATAAGTGATCAAAGCCATGTATGAACTGGACGAGAAGAAACGAGATGAATCTGTTAAGTGGCAATGTGAAAATGACACTGGAGAATGCGACGAAAGTGTTCCGCTTCTTCAGCGGTGTTACCAAACAGCAGGTGGATGCAGAGAAAAGCTATTCCCACTTGTGTTCATTGTCCCACCACCCAGTCTTCATTGCCGGCATCTTCAGCGACCTTCGCTGCCAGTGCCACCGAAACAATCATGTGCGAAAGTAGCAATCTCCCGGTCATAGCAAAATAAAAGCCATCTAAAACTTATCTAAAACTAGCCAAGCCCATTTCGAATTGCTCAACCTGAAACAAAATGCAGATTACGTAGTCGATTCTCTTCCTTTCTTACGTTATCTCTACAGTTAAGAGATGAACTAGCCTATTGCTAAAAATCTCTCAAATAAAGAATTAAAAAAAAAACGTTATCTCTACAGTAGATCGGACGCAATTTCTTAATATCAACCTATCACAAACGGGGCTTTTTAGAATGTGGATGCAACGAAGTTGATCATTCGCGTTTGCCCTGATTTTGGTCTGCCTTACGCAGAATGAATCACTGCTTCGGACAGGCATTACACACCAAATTTAAATCGATAAGAATCAGCAAAATTTTGCTGATTTTTCACTTGATGAAACATCAGCTAACGTTCCAGCAAAATAATGCTGCTGAATTTTCAGACAGACAGACAGACAGACAGACAGACAGACAGACAGACAGACAGACAGACAGACAGACA